CCTGAAGTTCCTCGAGTCACGTATCTACACACACAAGTCCATCATGCAAGGCAGAATTTAACTTTGAAATGTTTGTACATAAAACAGTAAAATATCAACAATAATAAACGTAAGATCGTAAAAGGAAAACAGAAAGTTTTGAGTAATGTTCTGAAAACACAATGATAAATAGATATTTCATCACAGTTACGTTTACTTATAAATATAAAGAGTGATGCATGGCAATAAGTGGTATGTTAGAGTTGTTTCACATTACAATAGCTATATCGTATCTGAACAAGGGTTCTCTATTGTTTAATGTCCAAATATTTACACTGAAATTCACCACACTACCTAATATTTCAACACGTTAAGATGACATCGTCATTTCTAAATGGCCCCAAGATACCGCTAGACTTTGATTATTAGTGTTCATTTACACCGGCTCCTCAACCATGCATAATTCATATCTGCTGAGTTATAGCACAAAGGCTACAGGAAGCCTTAGCAATACACTTTTCCAGCCATCGCAAAGGATTTATTTTCTCTATATATTATTCTAGATCTTTTCTTTGTGAAAGAAATGAGGAAAGCGGGGAATTCGGGATCATATGTGAGTTCAGTCAATTTATTGTTGGAATGACGTCGCACAAACATACTGGTGACGTCATGAAAAATGAACAATGCTCTCTAATTATTTGGTTGACAAATCAGTATAAATGACCACAAAGGTATCACTATGCAGTATAAAATAGAGTGGCAGTACAAATTCAGAGGTAATATGATACAAGAGCAGTAATAGTAATAAGAGCAGTGATTGTAATATTCATCTCTCAGGAACAGAAATCAAACTTGCAAACTTGGTCTGGCAGGGTAAAATGATTGTCACACGTAATCCTGGTCTTCTGGTAACTTGAGGGGTCGTTTGAGATGAGCAGCAAGGGTTTACTCCCTTTGTACACCTAAAACGACAACCAGATCTTTCTGTACTGTTATCTGCGTCACTGAATATGCCCATAGGATTGTAGTGCATTCCAAAACTCAAGTATAGCACAAGACTAAATATAGCACACCGCTGGCACTCACGTAATATGACATGTATAATGTATTACACACAGAAAAAGTTACACAATGAATAATACTGCCACATGAAAGGGTCTACTTTTATCAACTTCTCAAGCAAACAGAAAGATTATTAATTAAAGAGCACAAAATCACTGTTGCCCTTAGATAGTTTGATTAGAGTTATAACATCCAAGGCCTTAGTAAAGCCTGTTATGTGAAGAGTTATTGTTGTAAACATGTGGCGGACATGCCCATATGAGCATCAGTGACCAAATGGCGTCCCATGCAATTTGGACTTATAACATATGTGTCCGCGTTAAAAGCAAACAACTGTCTTCTCTTTGCACCTGTTTGTCACAGGTGCCGGTGAGGAGGACATGCTCAACTTCTCAACTGATACCTCTGTATCCACAGTATTTGATGGCGATTGATTCTGGTGATATAGACGGAATCGTACAGTGTAATTGTCGCATTCATTTACATAAGATGTGGTTACATGATTGGTCGTATTCATTTCCAATAGTGCAACATGAAAGGCGAAGGTAATTTTAGGCGAACTTCGTTCATCCCATTATATATTAAACTTTGCATTATTGTCCAAATCCACTGGGAAACTCAATAAATGAAAGGGGCTATAAATCATTCATTTTCCGATGCATGCTGTCGGGGTAAATGCAAAGATCTTCAGAATAACCTAACAGCAGATTTTCCAGAAATTCCTGATGGACAAACGTCCTTTTCATCTGAAGTTCCTGAAGCATTACTTCTTATCCTGGAATGAATAATGAATATGACACAGACAATGATCGTGATTCAATATTCTGTTATGAGATGTTCACGGTAGCTTTCACTTGTTAATAGAATGCTGTTTGAACGTTATTGGATTTCAGTAAATACCTTTCCTAATTATAACGAACAAGTTTTATCTTCATACGATCCAGAGATTTCCGAATGATCGTTAACACCTTAACCTTCGTTTGGTCATTATATCCAGGTGGGCTGTGCTGTGGATGTTTATCAAGAGTATGTCACACTGTCGCTGTAGGCGTATATTTATATGTCTTTCGTCTTTCTATGAAATCTTAATGAATCTAGACAACCACCTGGTTTATCAAAGCACATGTTTTGTATTGCGGTCTGAACATGTTTTGGTAGCGATATCGCAAGGGGTTTGCCGCTTGTATATATTTACAAGTCAACAGCAGCATCGTGCTGCTCTTATGGTAGGACATTACTGCAAAATTGTCAAGTCATTGGGTAATAAGCATGGTGCTGGTGCCTAGTTTAGCTGCTCATAACAGGCTTAGCTGGAACCTAATTGGTTATTCTTCACCAACCCATCTACAGCTGCTTTACAGCCTTGACCCGTTCCCGGGGAGGTTTACGCCAATATTTCCACGAGTCATTAGCTAACGTCACCAAACAGATGTAATCCCTTCTCTGTGGTAAGCTCGGCCAGACAGGTTCAGTCGACCGATGGAAGGGGAGTTTAGGTAACCATTACGTAATGCGAAGGACAACCTTCCGGGTCAACATTGAAATGATGTGCAGTGTTATTTGAAACTTAAATGGATGATGTTCGGTATTAAATCCGTAGAGCAAATGCATATGATGGAAATGTTTCACCGTACAAATGGATTTGGGCTAAATAGCTTCTTAATCAGCCACCTAGTTTGACGGAAGTTGTTTGATCCCAATAAATAAAAGAACGCGCTTTTTGTATGAAAAGTGCACCGAGTCGAGGGAGAGATTGGACGGAATACGCCTATACTATTATACTAAAATTACAACACGATATAGATTCAAACATCCATTCTGTAACTGCTTCACTTTATTGGAATGAACGCCTAGTCTGTAAACTCGAGCTTTAGGGACGTGCTTCTTTGAAATGCGACATTTCCCATTGTTGAACGTTTTAAATATTTATGACAGTTTGTCTGAAAGTTGTGTAAGTGGTGGGAGGTAGCTACTAGCCTATAAAGGCATGTTTTGTATATTGGCCCAAACCTGGTTTTACAGGCACATAATTGTCACCGTTATTATCCCTTTTATTCCATATGGAATTTTGTTTTTTCTTCTTTTTTTCTTCAGATTTATTAGTATCCGGCGATGACGCTGTGTGTTTTTGGGTGGTTCAGACAAGTTTGTCGTTCCCCCTAGCCCGACTAAACACCCAAACAGTTTATTGTGAACAGTACTGCGTCATAAGGGCATCTTTTAATGACATTAAGCCACATTAACAAGTCCCAACAAGAGCACGTTCTCATGGTCTCGGAAATTGTAATTGGCGTGCTTGCAATATTATTTAATTAGTAACGGAATGTAATTACTGGCAAGATTGTTGGTTATGTCAAAGGCCGTAGACAGAACGCAGTGCCACCTTGATCTCACTGTACTTAATCGATTGTTTAAATTAATTTGCGTTCCGTACATAACTTGCAATTAAACTAAATAAATGCATATGTCAGGCCTAATATAGTTATATAAATTATAAGATTTCAAAAGTATATGAATGTACAAATTGAAACTGTAACCCTCATGAGTATTTCACTTGTATACAGACCTAGGAAGATGCTATATCATGACCAAATACGGAAGATAGAGATTCTAATCTAATCACAGAAATTGTTTTATTTTAGCTTCGAACATCTTTGCGTGCTATTCCTTAAGACAGCATTATATATTCATGCTCCGTTAGTTCTACCACTTGTTTTGCCTTGAAATTTGCTTCGACCTAGAATCAGTTAGTTTTCGTATTGTTTTACTATTTGCTTTGTCATGACATGTGCTTCAACCTAGAATCAGCTAGTTTTCGTATAGTTCTACTATTTGCTTTGTCATGAAATGTGCTTCAATCCAGAATCAGTTAGTTTTCATATAGTTCTACTTCTTGCTTTGTCATGAAATGTGCTTCAACCTAGAATCAGCTAGTTTTCATATGGTTCTACTACTTGTTTTGTCTTGAAATGTGCCTCGACCCATAATCAGCTAGTTTTCGTATAGTTCTACTATTTGCTTTGTCATGAAATGTGCTTCAACCCAGAATCAGCTATTTTTCGTATAGCTTTACTACTTGGTTTGTTTTGAAATGTGTTTCAATCCATTAAGCCTGTCATTTCCCGTTTCCAAGTATGGTTCCCTCAAGGCTGTACTACACACACATGATTATTCTTTTATCTGGAATTATACATCTACCAATTCATTGAGCTGTGGTTTATATAGTTAATCCTTGTGTTCCACCAGCCATAATAGCTTTAAAGCACTTCTAATTATATTTCTGTATTTGTCTGTAATCAACGCTGATTCTGCTGATAATTCCTTGTGGAGATTGCGCGTTACAATCGGCTCGTTGTATCTTATGCTCATCGTCAGAATCAAACGGTTGAACAAGCTTGCTTGTATGTTACCGTTTGTTTCCCCACTGTTAGTTATGTAGACAAACATATGGTTAATATCATCTTTTATTTCACACTAAACATTTCTTTAAAACTGCTTGTCCTCAAGCTGAGCTGATTAGTCTCTTTAATTAATCTATTCCACTATCCTGACGCAGGAATACAGTTTTTCCCAGACTCGACTATTTACAATATATGGTCACATAGCTGAACCATTGCTGAACCAGGTGCAAATGAATGCATATCCACATGTATGTTATGGGATAACACTTGAGTTAACAATTTGTGTGGCCTGCAGGGCCGTGTTTGTTGCAGAAAACCTGGCTTTGAAACCATCTGACGTCAGACTTATTTTCAGATGACGTTATGTTATCAGTTTCTGACGTAATGAACAATGGTTTGTGTCAAGTCCTTTTGTTATTAACAATGACACTTACTGACGTCATATCGCTCCACAGAGAATCGGAAAAGGCACAGATACATATTTGTTTTAAGCTCGATCGTTCACATCACATATACTTTGTCAATGTCAATGTTAAGTAAAATGTCAACATGTTTCAGACTGCTCTGGTTGGTGCTGTTCACGGGATGTGCAGGGGTGATGGGGTACCAGATCATTGACCGCATCATATACTACTACAGTTGGCCAGTCACCGTTAACGTCCACGTCAACTTCAACGCTTCCCTGCTGTTCCCGTCTGTGACCCTCTGTAACCAGAACGCCTTCAGGTAATGTAATTAATTATCAAAAATTCAATTGTCACATTAAAGTCTTTAAAAAGTTACATTATTATATTGCTATGTGCATTTTAAAGCTAAATATTTAATCTCAAAGGAAACATGTTCTCCCTCATACACCTCCCTGAGGTCGTCTGTTCAAATCTCAGAATCGTCCTGATTATGATTCATGGTTTCTCAGCACCATTAATGGCAAATGAATGTGACATTCATTACTGGGTACCATCTTCCAATATCGTGTTAACGTAACAAAGTAACCGAATATGTGCGACGACATTTGAGAGGGAGGGTTGACGTTAATGTACTGGTATGATATACATTCATGTTTAAAACATTCTTCCAAAAGAAATCCATACAATAGATGAATTCTTTATTCGAAAACAAATACAGCGTCTAGCACGTTATGTGATTGTCGATCTGTGAATTGATTTGTGAGACTACTTAATTGCACTTAGAGTAATTGATTGTCGAGCTGGTGCCTTATGTTACGTGATGAGTTATACCGTCATGGCGAAACACATTCAGCCGGCACTAAACATCAGTTTGGCATGTGTTACTGAAGATGTCCTTACTTCGTTGAAAACTTCCTTCCTGAACAAGCAATTCGGAATAGTTGAATTTACAAGAAATAGATCTTCGCTTGGCCTTTCTGCATGTTTACGTGATATATGGGTGCCCAATGCCAATATATGGGTACCTAATGCCAGTTGTCAGAAGTTCACAGTAAGACGATAACATCAGTTAGAATCCACACATGTAAAAGGTCTCTTAACAAACCTCATCTTATGCGTGCAAACATGTTCGTGAAGCTATTAGGTATTGATGAATAAAACAGTATGTTGATATTTGTTATTGTAGGTACCTGTTTTGTAGTATTGTACTAATGTTCGGGATGAGCAGTTTGCTAAACTCCATGGAACAAGGGTGAAGGACGTAGAGCATCAGTGTTTCACACCACAGGAGTCCCTGGTGCTCTATTGTACACAGTATAATGTACACAGTTACGTATAATCATCGAGTGTTTGATTCGTCATGCTTCACCGTGACGTTGTTTTGAACAAACTACGTGAAGGACTTAGAGAGGTGCTCATGTGTGTCCTCTCACGGAGTCGATGGTGCTCGGCTATGTGTATAATGTACGAATCTATTTCATCCATGAGTGTTTGTCTCATGCTCCATGACATGTCAGAGTGACCTCTGTAATCAGCAGGTCAAAGCTGATTCAACTTGTTCCCCTAACATAACTGCAGGACAACTAGGTTTTTAAAAGATTGTAAAGGTGATTCACATTTCAAATCCTTGCGGAGAAACCAAAGACACACTCTCGTGCGGGAAGGTGTTATGGTGTTAGGTTGTACCTTATTAGTTAAAGAACAGAGAATCTATTGAAACCCTACAAGGATGTTTTGCGTGTACAGATTGGGACATGTTCTATGATGCAGAACAAACATTAGAAGGAATTTGTGACGTCATTACGGATTATATAAATTTTTGTGTCAACAACATAATACCAGAAAAAGAAATCAGAATTTTCCCAAACAACAAGCCCTGGATCACAAAAGAAAAGAAACGAGCATACATGAAGAAAGATAGAATACAACTCAAATGCATACAGAAGTACATCAGTCTTAAAGCTCGTGAGTGTAAACTAGCGTACAAAGAGAAAGTTGAGAGACAGTTTCAGCAAAGCAATCTGCAACAAGCCTGGCAAGGCGTGAACACGATGATTGGCAAGAGTAGGCGACGACAGACAACCAACGCCGGGGATAATAAAACCTTTGCTGAGGACCTCAACACTTTCTACAGCCGCTTTGATTGTCACGACTTTACCGATGAGAGAGCTCAAGTTAGTGAAGCCGTACAGGATAGTGAAAGTCGTATCCATATATCAGAAGCTGGCGTCGTATCCATATATCAGAAGCTGACGTCATTCAAAGCTTCTCCAGAATTAACATCAGAAAAGCAAAAGGACCTGACAACCTTGACGGCATTGTGTTGAAGGAGTGCAGACTTCAACTGTGTACAGTTTTCACTAGATTTTTTCAATTCTCAGTGAATACACACGTTATTCCTTCGGTCTGGAAAACATCAGAAATTGTACCAGTTCCTAAAAAGACACAACCTAAAGAACTCAACGACTACAGGCCAGTTGCTCTTACATCTATAGCAATGAAGTCGCTGGAACGCATCTTGTTGAGACATCTCCGTCAGGAAGTTGCCGACATACTGGACCCGCTTCAGTTCGCCTACAGGTCAAGGAGAGGAGTTGTTGATGCCACACTGTCACTCCTTAATAATGTCTATAAACATCTAGAGACACCTAAGTCATACATCAGGATCCTCTTCGTTGACTTTTCATCCAGCCACATATCATGATACAGAAACTGTTAGACATGGGCGTTAACTCATACCTCATCAAGTGGATCGAACACTTTCTTGTTGACAGACAGCAGTACGTGAAAGTTAACGGGGTTGTATCGAGTAAACGGACCACCAACACTGGTGCACCACAAGGCTGTGTAACATCTCCTGTTCTTTTCACCCTCTACACTAATGATTGTGCAAGCTGGAATTCAACCTGTTCAACTGTAAAGTTCGCAGATGATGCAGCAATTGTCGGCAAACTGAACGACACTGATTCTGAAGAACTGTATAAAGAGGACATTAATCATTTTACGACTTGGTGTGCAGAAAACCACTTACTCTTAAATGTCACAAAAACAAAGGAGCTGACGATTGACTTTCGGAGTAAACCCACAGAAATGCTTCCAGTGATAATCAACGGTGAATGTGTTGAGACAGTGTCGGAGTATAAGTATCTGGGAACCTTCATTGACTCTAAGCTGAACTGGAACTCTAACACTGAAGCCCTATACAAAAAGTATCAACAACGTCTTCATCCCATGCGAAAACTGAGATCTTTTAATGTTAACCCATCTGGGATGTCATCTTTTTATGTAGCATTTATTCAGAGTATTTTAACATTTTCCTTCCGTTGTTGGTACGGGTCTCTCTCAGTTCATCTCAAATCTAAAATAGACAAAATTGTTAACAGTGCAAGTAAAATCGCTGGAGTCAGATTTGAATGTTTATCATCAATATTTGAGCGGCAAATCGTGAATCAAGCTGTCAAAATCATATCTGACCGTACTCACTACTTAAATTCGGAATACAACCTCCTCCCTTCAGGCCGCCGCTACAAAGTTCCAATTGTGAAAACTAAGAGAGACCGTACTTTATTCCAAGTTCCATATCTCTCTTAAACAAATGTGAAGATACCTAAATCAAAGAATTTATGTAAATATGTTTGGTATCTCTCTAATGTGTCAGTAGCTCTGCTGAAAGGCATTAAAGTCTTATTCTATTCTATTCTATTCTATTCTATTCTATTCTATTCTATTCTATTCTATTCTATAAAGCTTGAAAATAATATCTCGTATATGTTTTTAGAATTATATGGGTACGGTTGGGCCGTAGAACCAAATAATAGCCCGTCGGCGTACCTTAAATACGGGAATACTGTCAGATAATTTGATGTTTAAAGAGCAGATAATATTCTTATCTAGAAAATGAATTATGCCCCTGCGAATTCATTTCAAACAGAAATGTGTTTTCATTCCCATGGGTATATTTGCACACCAATCACTTATGTCATTGGACCGTTAATTGACAGTAATTACGTTGTTGTAATTGTCCTATACAGCAGTCTAAATTTGATAAATGGATCATTCTAAATGGTGGCAATTCAGTTAAATGAAGGAATGTTGTTTAACTCAACAAACATTAATTCAAACATTGACATCATGTCATTCAGCCATAGATAGAGGGACGATGTGACTATTCAGTCATCAGGCACTTAAACACATTGTTAATAGAAGAGCGTGTTTCTTGATTAAGCGTCTGAGCTCGTAATATTCCTGAAATCCAATACATCGTATCCACACTTAACCAGTGTGTCCATGCCAACTGTAATTAATTGTCACATTAATATACACAAAGAACTTAATCAAGCACCCCCTGTATTTTTGCAATGATGGGTTTTAACACGTACATAAAACTTCTCGTGGTGACTCCCACGATTTTTCTGGCCTGTATGATCCTTTGACTCATAAAAACGACAAAATGACTGGAAACCATGTTTTACGATGATAAGTGCTCATTCTAGAAAAAAACAAAATAAATGTTGAATGTATTGTCAATGTCAGTTTACGTGTCTTACACGATTCAACGTCAATACCGAGTGTAACCTCCATGTGACTGTATGACAGCCAGCACTCTCCTCCTCATACCCACTGTCAGCCTCCTGATCCTCTGAAGGGGCAGTCTGCGCATTTCCTCATGTAAAGCAGCTTCCAATTGGGTCAGGTTCTGTACAGGAGGATCCCTTTGTTGCACACGACGACCAATCATGTCGATTGGGGCTCATTTAAACGTGAGATATGTCAGGGGGTGCTTAACTAAGTTCTTTGTGTATAGTTACACTTTCAATCCGATTGACAGCATGCTCTGGTTGTCACGGAGGTTCAGTTACGGCTGACTGTAGTTAGAAAACACTTAACAGAACGCGATCTGGGGTGGTTGTACAGTTTAACGGCATTAATGATCTGTATTCAAGAAATAAACTTAATAGTGTATTATAATGAAAACAGGTACCACAAAAAGAATGAAGTTATCATTGTAACGACCGATGACAAACGTAATACGCCAGGGCCAGATACTCTCTAAACCCCTGAAATTCCGTCGTTTACAACTGAGCCATAGTGTTGAGTTGCCGAGTAGTTAAAGCATTAACGTGCTATGGGTTTGATTCTGCACGTGTGTATACGTTTCCCCAGTCGTAATGCTAGAATATTGTTAAAAGCAGCGTAAAACCAACCACATTTAGAAGTCGCCGCAGTCTCTAGTTGATGAAGTCATTCTGTAACGTGTGGAGTAACGTTTGCAGGGCCACCGCAGCCACAGAGGCCGGAAGGTACCGCCTGATAGAAGCGATGTACACCAAGTCCCATGACTTCAACGCCAGTCAGCTGCTAGCCTACAACGCCACAAACATCACCCTCGACAATCTGTATGAGAGGGCAGCACACAGGAAGGAGGACCTGATCGTAGCGTGAGTGTACTCTTCCATTCCGTATACGTCGAGCCCGAGAATACATACATGGAGAATATATACACAGATAATACACGCATGGACAATATATACATGGAGAATATATACACAGATAATACACGCATGGAGAATACATTCAGAGAGAATACATTCACAGAGAATACACACATGGAGAATACATACACAGGGAATACACGAATGGAGAATACATTTACAGAGAATACACACATGGAGAATATATACACAGAGATACACACATGGTGAATACATACACAGAGAATACACACATGGAGAATACATACACAGAGAATACACACATGGAGAATATATACACAGAGAATACACACATGGAGAATATATACACAGAGAATACACACATGGAGAATATATACACAGAGAATACACACATGGTGAATACATACACAGAGAATACACACATGGAGAATACATACACAGAGAATACACACATGGTGAATACATACACAGAATACACACATGGAGAATATATACACAGAGAATACACACATGGAGAATATATACACAGAGAATACACACATGGAGAATATATACACAGAGAATACACACATGGTGAATATTTACACAGAATACACACATGGAGAATATATACACAGAGAATACACTCATGGAGAATATATACACAAAGAATACACACATGGTGAATACTTACACAGAATACACACATGGAGAATATATACACAGAGAATACACACATGGAGAATATATACACAAAGAATACACACATGGTGAATACATACACAGAATACACAAATGGAGAATATATACACAGAGAATACACACATGGAGAATATATACACAGAGAATACACACATGGTGAAAACATACACAGAGAATACACACATGGTGAATACATACACAGAATACACACATGGAGAATATATACACAGAGAATATATACACAGAGAATACACACATGGAATACACAAGAGAATATATACACAGAGAATACACACATGGTGAATACATACACAGAGAATATACAATATCACTATTATGTCTTCGCCTAAACAGATTCAGTCGTTTTGACTTCCTTTTCAAAGTGTTCATGCTGATAATGATGCCATTTACATGGGCCAGACAAGACACACTTTCTGAATAGCCCAACATGAAACAAATGCATATGCTTTCATCCATGACTTCATCCAAGATGCTAAACCCAAACGAAAGAAGTGAATGACTACTGGTTGACTTTTTCAAACATATTTATAACATCCTTAAGTCCTAATTAGGAGATATTAAGTCCAAATTAGGAGATAGTATCACCTAATTAGGAGATAGCTATGTCCTAATTAGGAGATATTAAGTCCTAATTAGGAGATAAAAAAAATCAGACTGTGGCACTAGGACGCTTCCGTAGGTATTGGACGATTGTTAGACGCAGGTATTCTGTTTGCTTTCTTGTAAGGTGGCATATAATAATGGAAATTACTACACAAAGAATACGGATGTACACGGAATACATACACAGAAAATACACGATCGGTTAGGGAGGCTGCTGACGGGGAGGGACTGCTGATTCTATTAGGCGTCTATCATTCTAAACCTTGGCCTGTATGATATGATTCGATTTCCAGCTTGGACTTAAAAGAATCGATAATGATGGGACCGATCCTTGCACATACAGGAAGATTACATCAAATCAAAATTGATGTACTGCTTGGTCAATGGGTTTATATGCCTCTTAGTTACTAACTGTGCCGATTGTTTAATTTAGAGGTATCGTCCTGTAGTTATAACTATAATTCCTTTGATTGGGGACTGAGTTGATAAGATCACTGCCGGTAGGATTAGGATGCAATCACAACGTACCACTGCTGCATCTCACAGATGCTGATGTCACTGGCCGTTTCTACAGTGATAGGTAGACGATGTATAGCTATCCAGGGACAGTGTGATGAGGTTCGAGAGCATACTATTTACTATGTAGATATGCATGGAACCGTTACCAGCTTCATTATGTTGTCCTTTCTGGGCTGCCCTTCATGAAAACTGTCTGGGGACGGCCCTGGGGTCAGCACAGTTTCAGAAGCCAAAGTGATGTGTCAGAGCATAGTATTGCCGTCAGACTAACAATGACGTTATTCACCCTGGGGTCAACACCGTTTCAGAAGCCAAATGGATGAGTGAGAACACAATATTGCCGTCAGACTGACAATGACGTTATTGACGCGTCATAACGTTGGTTCTGTGGCTAAATATCGATGTAACTGTCATGGCGAAAATTTTAATAAGGCACGACTGACCCAGTTCCTCCAGGACGGGCTAATGGTTGCCTGGTTTCTTCGACGAAATCGTTCATGAAGTTGTTTTCGATTTTTGTTGAATGGTTCGTGAAGCACCAAAAAAGGGTTTCCGCAAAGTATGTATCTTCCATGTAAGAAATGTTGAATGACAGCGCCTTCTCTGGAAATCAAGTTGTATTAATGGCTAGGGTTTACACATGCCTCTCTTCCAGGGCCATGTACAGAATACTGCTTGTCATGCCATCATCTACAGTACACCTCCAGGCAACCACAGTATGAAATACAGAGGTGGTCCAGCTCAGTTATAATGTTGATTTTGGTTTACGTTTGACTCTTGTCTGTTCCCAGCTGTGAATGGCAGGACAAGCCTTGCTCTGCTAAAAACTTTACACAGGTATTCACCGACCACGGCGTCTGCTACTCCTTCAACGCCGCAGACGACGACCCCTTAATGGTCACTTCCACAGGTATGTATGGAAATATCTTCTACATGTATGTCTGTTAGTCACTTCAACATATGGCTATGGTATTCAGTTCAGCATGTATATTTAATAGTCACTACAGAACCAGCAGGTATGTTTATAGTCACTTCCACAGGTATATCTAATAATCACTTCAACAGGTATATCTAATAGTCACTTGAACAGGTATATCTAATAGTCACTTCAACAGGTATATCTAATAGTCACTTCAACAGGTATATCTAATAGTCACTTCAACAGGTATATCTAATAGTCACTTCAACAGGTATATCTAATAGTCACTTCAGCAGATATATCTAATAGTCACTTCAACAGGTATATCTAATAGTCACTTCAGCAGGTATATCTAATAGTCACTTCAACAGGTATATCTAATAGTCACTTCAACAGGTATATCTAATAGTCACTTCAACAGGTATATCTAATAGTCACTTCAACAGGTATATCTAATAGTCACTTCAACAGGTATATCTAATAGTCACTTCAGCAGATATATCTAATAGTCACTTCAACAGGTATATCTAATAGTCACTTCAACAGGTATATCTAATAGTCACTTCAGCAGATATATCTAATAGTCATTTCAACAGGTATATCTAATAGTCACTTCAGCAGGTATATCTAATAGTCACTTCAGCAGGTATATCTAATAGTCACTTCAGCAGGTATATCTAATAGTCACTTCAGCAGGTATATCTAATAGTCACTTCAGCAGGTATATCTAACAGTCACTTCAGCAGGTATGTTTATAGTTACTTCAGCATATAGTTGTGGTATTCATTGTGCTCGTGAAACTGCATCTAACTGCTTCTGGTTCTCCACGTGGGTTCAGTCATGTGATTGTCCCTCGTGTGATTATCCGGGAAAATGTCTAATTGCTGCGTAAGAACAAACTCACAAACACACTCGTTGGAAAAAGACTTCGTGGTGTTCTCGCTGCATACTCTAAATCATAAAGTACAATCATAGCAGTGTATGTTAACAGGAGAGGGTTCTGCCCACAGGTTCCGACTATGGCTTGAAACTGACGTTGAACGTGGAACAGTATGAATACATGCCAGGGCCTCATGACGCAGCTGGTGTAAAATTGCTACTCCACGACAGAAAAGAGTTCCCCAAAGTGCACGAGCTTGGCCTTGCCATTCCTACAGGCTCTCACGCCTTCATCGGTATACAGCTAGTATCGGTATGTGTCTAGGTGTTCCGCCTCTGACACTCAGTGTGGAGTTACTTATCGACAGAAGTAAAGGAAAACACGATTTGTTATTTACTTGAGTATAACCTCTCATGCCATGTCATATTAACTATGACAATATGAAAGAATAGGGCGTTCTGTAACTTCTTTTGAGAGGTATAGTTGCCACTAGTGCGTTAAGAAAGATATAAAGTGGCACTCATCAATTTAAACTATGTATGTGTATTTGACCTTTCATACCTTTGGTAAAACCCCTTTATGACCAAACCTAGCATACTATGGTTCCTTTGGCTTCCAAAATTGCCACTTTGTCGAACTTGATACCACCCTATGTATTCATAGTTATCTGCCATAAGTACTTGCACAAATTGAGTTATTACTGTATGTAAATATAGGCGCTTGTGAACTCGCATATATAGTATGACCAGAAATTATTGCGAATTTTAGGAATATGTTTAATTGGATTTCTAGTTTAAACAACCTCGACCAGCTATCAAGTGCTTGGTTTCATTCAAGAGAGACAACTCCGTTTATCCTTTTTCATTAGTTTGTGAAGAGTTATCCCCCTTTGTTCACTTGCTAGCAGACGACATTTTCAGGGATCCTCAGTATTGATGATTTAGAGAAGAGGAAGTTGATTTTAGAGTATTATAACAAGGACATCAGATTAGCTAAAGTGATTTCAAGTAGAACAGGCATCCCTTTGTCCACTGTTTATCGTGTTTTGAAAAATATTGCAAATGGATATGGCATTGAGCACCAGGGAGGCGCAGGTAGGCCCAGAAAATTGACTGTCGGTGACAGGAGGCAGCTTGGTATTCTTGTTTCTAAAAACAAACGAAGTAGTTTAGAAAACATAAGGCTGGATATGATTGATAGAGGAACTGCGGCTGTCTATAAGGAGACAATTAGAACTGAGCTGCATGCAATGGGTTGGCAGAAAAGTCGAGGAATTCCATCACCGATCATGAAACCTGAACGAAAGGAGCGAAGGTTGAACTGGTGCTTACAGCATAAAATTTTTAACTGGGACAATGTGATTTTCTCAGATGGAAGTTCTGTGTGGCTGTTTCCTAATACACTGAAATTCTGGACCAAACAAACTGAAAAACCTTTGTATCAGCGCCCAAAGTACAGTCCGAAATTTAACGTGTGGGGTGGCATATCTGTGTTAGGGGCAACGCCCCTCTGTGACCTAAATCCAATAGAAAATGTTTGGGGACTTATGAAGGAAAGTGTCAATAAGAAAAATCTGACAAATATTGCTGAAATGAAAGAAGAGGTGGTCCGATATTGAAACAGCATGGACCACGACTTTCTAACTTCTTTGATCAGTAGTATGCCCCGCCGCATTGAAGCCTGCATTGCTGCCTATGGTGACTTGACAAAATGCTAACTGTTCTCCTGTCTTTGAATCTGGAGTTATGTTCTGCTAATATTCACATTTAATACGTGCGTAATGAGTGAAAAAAGATTAATTACACTCTTTAAATTCCCAATAATATCTGGTTGTACTGTACAATAGAATGTTTATCAGACATTTGGTTTGTTTTTGTTTTGTTTTTCTCTTTGTTCTATTTATAACGTATTTAATTATTTAGACCTATCAGTTATGGACATTTTAAATGTATATATGCAAATGGAAAATACTAACTGCAGGTATGAAGTTCAATGAAAACACATTTATTCTTAGATTTAATGATACATGTGTTTTTGTATGAACAGCATACGATGGTTCTTAAGCTGTAAATGTGTATATTTAACCGTAAATAACGCTTCCGGAATGTCACTGCTTGCTCAAAATATACGCTCCGTAGGTATTTTGCAAAACGGAATGGCGCAGAATGAGGCTACCAGGCATTTAAATGTTCATCGAAACACAGTATTATGTCTTTGGTATAAACTCGTGACTTGCACCTAGCCTCAATCCACGTTTGACGTGACGTCAACCAGTCAACCATTTTCAGTTGATGAATCTACAGAATCAATACCAAACTGCATAACATTGTTTTACTGTTATGGCCAGAAGGTTCTCGCTGTCTGGGATAAGATTGATAACGCCTACGACAGGATCAGAAGCAGCCAGTAAAGCTGACTAGGTTGAGTCAAACCCCCTTGCTTAATCAACCACCCCATGTATTCAGTGTGTTCCACTACCTGTATCAACTCAAATACTGACATTGTTAACTGAGTTGTCATACCACATCCCTTTTAGGCGAGTCGCCGCTCTGTCTCACGTAACCGGATAAGGGTTTTGTCAATGAATCTGCTATGATAAAACATTGATCAGACGAATTACACTTCCATTTTTCCACTAGTATTTAATAAAGTTGCGGATGCGATACATATGGGTAATCGTAATCATAGTATATCGACGGTGCCTTGTAGTTAATGTGATCCTTTGGTTGAATCTCGGGTTCAGTAAAAGTTCGGGTACATTTTCTAATGCGTATTTCTCCCAAAGTTTGAGCCGAATTAGTTTCAAAAGTGGCATAAAACACTACTCACTCACATATACCCTTCTGTGGACCAGCAACTGTAGTATAAGAATAAAATACCTTTGCAGTTTGTATAATATTTCACTTTTGAAATAAGCTATAGTGCCTGTGACGTTTTACACACTTGCGTAATGGATGCATATATGTGACGTCCATTAACAGATAAAGAACCTCCCAAAGCCTCACGGAGACTGTGGCGTGGCGGAGTCCGAGTACTACAAGATGTACTCCACGGATGCATGTCAGCTGACGTGTATGACCAAGATCCTGAACGAGGAGTGTGGGTGCCGTCATCACTTCATGCCGAGCGTAGATGGTGAGCTGTGAAAATATAATAAAATCGTTGAATGTGAAAAAGATGGTGAGTTGAGAAATAGTTAGAATCATCTGAATGTGAAACGTCGATGGTGAGTTATCAGATATTTAATACGACATCGTTGATTGTCAAACATATATTTTGAGTTGTACAAATGTTGAATTTGACATCACTGAATAAGAATATCGAGTTATGCAAATACCTGAAGGTCATGTCATCAGCTGTTCGTGAAAGCCAAATCGGTGGTCGGCTTAGCTAGGGGTGAATATGACAGCAGCCTCCATTATAGTTTACCAGGGATGGTGTAATATGAAATACGAGATATAAAGCATCACGATGTTAAAATAGTCCCACCAATGTGTAGATGTCAGATGGGATGTGTAAGGGAGACAAGAGTGTACTATTCCGAGACACCACAGTCCGTTTGAGTCAGAAAGGGACGGATGAATTGCAAATTTTATCATTGTACAAAATTGCCACATAAATATAAATAGTATACATGTTTATCATTTACTAATACCCAACAGCTTTCTTATACTAGTATTTGAAAATTGTCCTGACTCCACCAAAAAAGTTCTTGAAGAAACTATCATTAAAATTTTGACACAGTTGACTATTTGTTACGAGGGAGGAGTGCAGAGAAAGGGACAGCCAGGTGTTAGAGAAGCACGTGCACAAGTGCCCACCAAGTTATTGATTCATTAGCCTGTGCTGTGCCGTCTCCATCCTTTCTTGCACACCTGGCTGTCCCTTTCTCTGCATTCCTCCCTCGTAACAAATAGTCAACTGTGTCAATCTTTTAATGATAGTTTCTTAAAGAACTTTTTTGGTGAAGTCCGGACAATTTTCAAATATAAGAAAGCTGTTGGGTATTAGTAATTGATAAACATGTGTACTATTTATATTTATGTGGCAATTTTGTACAATGATAAGATTTGCAATTCATCGGTCCGTTTCTGACTCAAACGGAATGTAGATGGAAACTATACCTTATAATTGTTGTTGCTAGCATCTTCAGAAGTCAAACATATGTGATAGTTAATGCTATAGTTACCATTAAGCCCACAGCCGATGACTGACAAGATGTGTCACGGATTCGATCCAGCTTTAGGTTACATATAAACTTGGGTATGTAACATATGTTATAAAGGAATTCACTTTCTCAGTTAGTAGAGATCTGACAACTGGTAGTCCAGAGAAAGGGTAATACCAAACATATTACATGTTACATTTGATGACTTTCTGAAAGGCATTATGTCTTCATCTCTGTTATTGTTTGACTGACACGACCTGCTTACTTCCGTTACAGACACACCGCCGATATGCACCCTGGACCAATTTTACTCCTGCTATCATAAAATTATTGGTAAGCATAACGAACTGGCCTAGAAACACATAGTAACTGTGTAGTTATATCAAAAAACGAAACAGAATATTGAACATTCAGTAATCGATAGTTACACTTCATGTAACTTTGTAATTGTGTTTACTCTAATCCTCAGTCTCTACGTCAATTTATGTCAAAAATAGTAATTTCATAACCTGCGTTCGCGATATATTCTTTGTAGTAAATAACGATATCTTGAACTCTAAGGTTATCAAGTCAAAATTGACCAATCAATGTTTTTTTATATTTTCTTATCAGTTGACCAGGGGCCCCTTTCACGAAGCACTAAGGTGATCGTAAGTCATTAAGGTAACCTTAGTGCAATGTTAAAGAGTGGGAATTAAGGTTAACTTTAGTAAAGGTTGTTTCGTGAAAGAAGACCCTGGGTTATTTAGACCCCATTAATTAAGTTATCTTGGTGTGACGCTTGCCATGACGATTGTTACAGGCGATGTGAAGTTGAAGGTCAGAAAAGAATGCGGCTGTCCCATCCCCTGCTTCTTCCTCATCTTCGACCCCACCATCTCCTTCGCCACCACGTCAATGTACGCCACCGACAAACTCCTATCTTCCGGTGTAGAGAACCTCACCACACGCTTCATGGAAGCAAGGGAGACAACCAGTCGCATGGACCGCTCCCAGTTTGACACATTCAAATCTATGGAGAGTAACGCACAGGAAAGATTGAACATCCTGAAGAAAGTGATGTTTGACGAAGTGGAGACTAACATCATAGAACAGGAACAGATCCTCTCCTCCATCTTGAACGACACGTTGGCCTCCTGGAAGACCAAGATGCACCTGTATCGATGGCAAGAATACATTGTCCAGAAAAACTTCATGAGAGTACGCCAAGCAATGGAGGAGAGAACATTCAACTATCTAGCTATGGGTTTTCAAGAATTCTCCTATCAGATTGAATCTAAAATCAAGCAGCTTGCCAACACGTCTATATCATCCCCGGACGTACGCCAGACTCTTCATCTCCTGACGCTGAATGAACTGGGAGGGCGTATAGATCTAGCAGACAGAGCTTATGATAACTACACCCAGCTGTACGGCGCCTACTACAACGCTAGCCCTGTGTTCAGGTACAAGTACCTCCATGAGGACAGGAACGACAACATCTACATCGGTCCCCACGTCCTCCTGCGTCAGTCCCTCCTCTACTCCGCCTACGCCGTCAAGTACAGCGGCAGGGTGGGCAAGGATATTCTCAGATTCAAAAGAGCCTTGCAAGACTATGTTGATATGGCGGACAAAGCCTACTACACCCAAACACTAAATACGACCGAACTTCACCTTGTGAATATTAAGTTTCTGCAACGTGGAAGAACGTATTTCTTCAGTAAAGCAACATTCTACTTCGAGTCTATCGACTACCCTCTTCGTATCCTGCGAGAGCGGATTGCGGCATTTGAGGCCTACCACCGATCTTTTAATACACACGTTAAAGAAATGATGGATAACGCTGCAAGTTTGAGGTTTTCTTTGAATTCGTTAAAATCATCAATTATTGATAACTTGGACGGTGGATTAGGACTCGCCAATAATTATTTTAAATATGGAAACATCAGCAAGTTGGAAGTGGCCCGTGTACTCACTGCTCCTAATATATACGAGGGAATCAGTAGCATGAAAATATTCTTTCAAGAAGTAAGGTCACGTGGTCAGAATGTGTACGATGGTTGGTTAGATTTGATCCAGTCAACAACAGCGATCTGGAGTGCGATCTTAAACGACGAAGATATGCTAAAATATTATGAATTTAAAAATATGACTCGTTTTTTGCAAAATATATCTGATGTAGCTAAAGAAATTGAGACGGCCTACATGGAATACAGAAGTTCCTTCGACTTCCGATTCCTGGTGGGCACAGCTGACAGCACCTTCCTGAAGAGTCTGGAAGATCTCATGGAGCTTATGACGTCATATCTTCTGACCAGTAAAGTCGACACCACGTTCATACAGTAAGTTCATTGTTTCTTCTTCATAATCGTATTATCACGCATCACACATTTAGGTATTATCAGTTTACTGAAGTCACAGTATTATCAAGTATCACACATTTAGGTATCATCAGTTTACTGAAGTCACAGTATTATCAAGTATCACACATTGAGGTATCATCAGTTTATCGATATCACAGTATTATCAAGTATCACATATTTAGGCATTATCAGTATACTGAAGTCACAGTATTATGAAGTATCACACAATTAGGTATTATCAGTTTACCGATATCACAGTGTTATCAAGTATCACACATTGAGGTATTATTAGTTTACTGAAGTCACAGTGTTATCAAGTATCACACATTTAGGTATTATCAGTTTACTGAAGTCACAGTATTATCAAGTATCACACATTTAGGTAGTATTAGTTTACTGAAGACACAGTATTATCAAGTATCACACATTTAGGTATCATCAGTTTATCGATATCACAGTATTACCAAATATCACACATTTAGGTATTATCAGTTTACTGAAGTCACAGTATTATCAAGTACCACACATATAGGTATTATCAGTTTACTGAAGTCACAGTATTATCAAGTATCACACATTGAGGTATCATCAGTTTACCGATATCACATATTACCAAGTATCACACATTTAGGTATTATTAGTTTACTGAAGTCACAGTATTATCAAGTATCACACATTTAGGTATCATCAGGTTATCGATGTCACAGTATTACCAAATATCACACATTTAGGTATTATCAGTTTACTAAGTCACAGTCATCAGTATTATCTCAGTTTACTGAAGTATATTATCTAAGTATCACACATTGAGGTATCATCAGTTTACCGATATCACATATTACCAAGTATCACACATTTAGGTATTATCAGTTTACTATCACATATTTAAGACACAGTATTATCATCAGTATCAGACACATTTAGGGTATCATCATTTATTCTGAAGTCACATTATTACATTATTATCAAGTATCACACATTTAGGTATAATCAGTTCACTGAAGACACAGTGTTATTTAGTATCACACATTTAGGTATCATCAGTTTACCGATATCACAGTATTATCAAGTATCACACATTGAGGTATCATCAGTATACTGGAGTCACAGTATTATCAAGTATCACACATTTAGTCATTATTAGTTTACTGAAGTCACAGTATTATCAAGTATCACACATTTAGGTATTATTAGTTTACTGAAGTCACAGTATTATCAAGTATCACACATTTAGGTATCATCAGTTTACCGATATCACAGTATTATCAAGTACCACACATTTCGGTACTATCAGTTTATTGAAGTCTCAGTATTATCAAGTATCACACATGTATGCATTATCAGTTTACCGATATCACAGTGTTATCAAGTATCACACATTTAGATATTATCAGTTTCTTGAAGTCACATTATTATCAAGTACCACACATTTAGGTACCATCAGTATACTGAAGTCACAGTATTCACTTTGTATTTTTTCAGAGAAAACTTTTTGCAGTTGGATATATTTTACCGCGAGAGAAGTTATGAGCAAATCACCCAACAGGTTGCATACGACATGTTTGCCTTGTTGTGTAAGTATGACAGTGTGTCGACATGTTTGCCTTGTTGTGTAAGTATGACAGTGTGTCGACATGTTTGCCTTGTTGTGTAAGTATGACAGTGTGTCGACATGTATGCCTTGACAGTGTGTATGACGACATGTTTGCCTTGTTGTGTAAGTATGACAGTGTGTCGACATGTTTGCCTTGTTGTGTAAGTATGACAGTGTGTCGACATGTTTGCCTTGTTGTGTAAGTATGGCAGTGTGTCGACATATTTGCCTTGTTGTGTAAGTATGACAGTGTGTCGACATGTTTGCCTTGTTGTGTAAGTATGACACACACTGTGTGACACATGATTGGTTAGTAAGTGAGCTAGTAAGTGAGTTTCCTTCATTATCAGCTTGAGTGAGATGCCGCTTTTAACAATGATTCAGGTATATTACAGTGTGTGGGCTAAATGTGCGGAGAAAGCCCGACGTGATACAGGTCTCATACGGAGAAAATACGAGCAAAGGTATAGCGCTGACTAACCTCACTACCAAAATCAGCCGAATCACAGGTTTCTGGCACATCTAAGGGGCGCAACTCTGTGATCCTTACACTGACCCCATTGCGAACAATCACCACACAAGAGATTCGCATCTCTTTGTTATTACATCCCAGAGTAAAAAACTCGCACAGGGGATCAGATGGGCAAACTGGCTCTTGGGTGTTCCATAGCCATCTCCCTGGTATTGCTTGCTGGGTTAGTGTGCCATCGCACCCAGGTATTGTGCTCACCCAGATTAAATAGTGAAGCACCCATGCAGATCCGGGTTAGAATTGGTCTTCAGCAAATCATGCCTGTTGTAAGAGACAACTACGTAATCAGGTTGTCAAGCTCTCTGGCTTTGGTTGATGCATGTCATCGAATCCTAGCTGTAAAGATAATTGTTAACGGTGTCAATAACTGCATTGTCTGGTCCAGACTCGATTATTGACATACCGCAGTCAAATAGCTGGAATATTGCTGAGTGCGGCGTTAAACAGCAAGGGAATAAATCACAGTGAAGCCGTACACGTTTATGCATTTCATGATTTTAATGGATTTTCTTTACAGGTGACATTGGCGGGTCCATGGGTTTATTTGTTGGCGCCAGTGTATTGACAATGTTCGAACTAGTGGATCTGTTGTTTGACCAGACTGTTTTCAGACTGAGCAACAGACGAATATCATAGTTGTTTGCAGACCTGATGAAGACATACAGATGAAGACATACAGATCCAGACTGGACGTCATTGCTGATGAAGGGCGCCCGTGATGTGTTGAGAAGGGTCCTTTGTTATACTACTCAAAGATCGCTTCTGTTGAAATAACCAAAGACAATTTTGCCTGAAGACTTGTCAGTTGAACTACTCACGGTGGCAACAGTCAACACGACCAATAATCACTCACCCGTCAAACCACACGAAACTGAAATGTCAATAAACCACGAAAACAAATTCCTAGAGCAAAACAACCCAACTCCCAAGAAATGTCAGGATGGTTGCCAAAGGAAGATCGTTCCAATCTTTAGTGCGAGCACTGCACTGCTTTGTGAGAAGGCGATCTGCAGCCCGTTCCATACCTGTTCGCTCACGCCATGTGGACAGTGGCCTCCAGCTCTAAGCTGGCATCAACCAACCCAAAACGATAAGGTCGTGCGTTATCGCCCATGCCGATGAGTTTTGGTCCGATAGCATTAGCATGTGGTCTCCCATATACAGTATACTGCACAGATTGTAATCCCTTTAGCACACACCTGTCCTCGTGTCTGCTATTGGACATGAAGATAAGTCCTTCTACCTCAACTCATACCATCCCAACTGATATCATCCCAACTGATATCATCCCAACTGATATCATCCCAACTGATATCATCCCAGCTGATATCATCCCAAATCCTGAGACCACTTCTACAGCGTTCGTGTTCATCTACGTGTGAATCCTGAAATCCTGAAGTCAAGATAGTATCTCGATTCCAAAGTGAAAGCAGTATATGGTATCTGGTGAAAGCAACCATCTTCACGGAGATGCATGCCAGTACATCTGTCTAATTCGTCGGTCGCCAAACGCTGAGGAGGCACAAGTGCATTCATTTTTTTGCAATCCTCAGAAGCAAACGTTTTCGTGCTCACTTGTAATGAATGGGGCGCATGTCTCCTTCGCATTACATCCAAACACCGGACATCAAGTTCCTCATCGTGCCGATGACTGCATGCCTCTTCCCGTTCATCATGACATCGAGGTCCTCCCAGGATAACTCAGTCATTGTGTACCTAGACATTTCCGTTTTTGTTTGTTTTGTTAAGTGATTAAAACTTAATCGGCAAATATTCTAATGTCAGTCCAAATAAACAGATGCTATATTCGCTGTACAACGAGGTAAACCAGGAGGCCAGGTAAGGTAGCTTCACACGGTTGATGATTAAACTGATGGAGAGCAGTATCACAAAGGTAACACACTGTACCACATCGGTAACATTGTCTCATATGGATAACATACACGATAACACGGGTAACATTGTATGACAAAGGGTATATTCTGCATCATAATGGTGATAGATTGTATGACATAGGTAACATTCTGTTACATGGGTAACATATTCATATCAAAACCTTAACATCCTATATCACATGGGTGACATATTAAGTTACACACATACCATGGTGTTACCACAGGGTAAGGTCCTTTGACATGGGTAGTACATTGTATCACATGGGTAGTACATTGTATCACATGGGTAGTACATTGTATCACATGGGTAGTACATTGTATCACATGGGTAGTACTGTATCACATGGGTAGTACATTGTATCTTATGGGTAGTACATTGTATCACATGGGTAGTACATTGTATCACATGGGTAGTACATTGTATCACATGGGTAGTACATTGTATCGTAGTACATTGTATCACATGGGTAGTACATTGTATCACATGGGTAGTACATTGTATCACATGGGTAGTACATTGTATCACATGGGTAGTACATTGTATCACATGGGAAACATGTTGTATCACACAGGTAACATATTGTATCAAATCGGTAGCATACTGTAATACAGTGTGTCACATGGATAACCTTCTGACACGTGTCTGACATTGTATCAGTCCTAATGTGTACATAAACATTTCTGTCTGGTGTGACACTGTATGAGATCATGCATGTACAAATACGCTCTTGTCTGGTGTTAATATGTCAGTCAGTTCTTGTATGTACATGTACACAAACTGTCTAGTGTAACACTGTAGTAGACGGTCAATGGATGTACATATACACAACCTGTCTAGTGTTACACTGTAGTAGACGGTCAATGGATGTACATATACACAACCTGTCTAGTGTTGCACTGTAGTAGACGGTCAATGGATGTACATATACACAACCTGTCTAGTGTTACACTGTAGTAGACGGTCAATGGATATACATATACACAACCTGTCTAGTGTTGCACTGTAGTAGACGGTCAATGGATGTACATATACACAGCCTGTCTAGTGTTACACTGTAGTAGACGGTCAATGGATGAACATATACACAACCTGTCTAGTGTTACACTGTAGTAGACGGTCAATGGATGTACTTTTACACTGTCAATATACCGGAACCAGTTCCACTTGCATCCAGGCCAGATAATGCAGGACTTTTGCACATTGCACATGATTCATTTTGTCAAGAAGAATTACATAGTGACAAGCTAAACTTAGGATTTTTCAGTTGCTTGCAATGCTAGATGTAACTTGGAACCAGTTTAAGGGGCGGTGGGGTAGCCTAGAGGTTAAAGCGTTGGCTCGTCACGCCGAAGACCCGGGTTCGAATCCCCACATGGGTACAATGTGTGAAGCCCATTTCTGGTGTCCCCCGCCGTGATGTTGCTGGAATATTGCTAAAAGCGGCGTAAAACCAAACTCAGTCAGTGGAACCAGTTAAAGACAAGTCACCATACATCTGTTCAGACACATGGCAGAGATACACTAACTCATGTTTATATGTTTTTGTTATATATTTATTACTTTACAAACCTTTATGTGGAGAATGAATGTTCATTATGTAATTATGTAAATGCTGAGAAATGGAAGATGTATGATTATTCAATTTTGAAAAATAAATTCCAATTACAATATTATTGATCAGCAATGATTATTGTGTTATTTTGTTGTATCTTCTACTGTTATCTTGCACACACCTGCTGTTGTTGTCTTGTAGCCCCAAACATTCACTAACAGACTAGTGTCAATATTATATACCACAGTTGATGGTGTTTTTGTAAATCTGTCACAGGCGGAAAAAACAACTGACATTTCATCTTTGTTTGCTGTTGAGCTATGTTTTGTGGATTCATTGCATATATGTATCCGTTCCACTGTGAAGCTAGTCCATGAGGGAATTACTGCATTGATTTTTGTCAAAACAAGTTATCAAAGTGGAGAAACTGCCACAACAGTGACTGTGCTGGACAGAATGGGTATAGGAATATCCCCCACACAGTGTACCCATGTAGAGAATCAACCCTGGATCTACAGCCAGATGCTTGAAGCACTGGATTACTCCACCACTACCTGTGTGTTGTGTGGTGAATCCAGGTTAGAACTGATGTCCTGCAGCCTCTTTTGGCCAGGAGGGGATTCTATGGATTGGATGATCAGTCTCCGTAATTTGGTTCATTACTGTTAACTGAGTGAGTGAGTGAGTATAGTTTTACGCCACACTCAGCAATATTCCAGCTATATGGCGGCGGTCTGTAAATAATCCAGGGACCAACAGCATGAACATCGATCTACGCAATTGGGATACGATGACATGTGTTGACCCAGTCAGCGAGCCTGACCACCTGATCCCGTTAGTCACCTCTTACGACCATCATGAGTTACTGAACCTCTAACTCGGACCTTCACGGGTTACTGGGTGGGATGTTGCTCATGATATCAATCACTGGTTTTGGTCTGATCTGAGGTCACCATCATTTGGAAGATAGCTGAGTATGGCCATAACATCACATGATGTCAAGCATGTGTACAAAATAACGAAAAAGAAAACTTTTGGCAAATGGTTTATTGACATAATCTGGATGCTAGAGAAATGCACAACAGACACAACAAGTGATCCTCAGAACCTGGGAACAAGTCCATGTCCCGCATGAGAGTACAATACTCACAGATCTCAGACACATACATGTCTTAGCTGCATTGGTTGTAAAAAATAAAGTTGTATAAGCATCACAACAAGATAAGGTCAAGATATGTGGAAATATAGATGTGAAACTTCTTACTATGTTATACATTGTCTATTCCTAAATAGATATGTTGGATGAGTTTCCAGAGTTTATAAAGTCTTGCTGAGATTGCCAAAACGTTGGGTCAGGTTAGGTTGTGTTTTACACCTCTATTAAAGACATACTTTCATAATAAGCCATCCACATTTTCTTGAACACAATTACACTCTGCCACTAGAATGAATTTTACATCTCATGTTGATTTGCAATTATTATCAGGCAAAACGCCTTACCTTAAAATGTCATCAGTCATAAATCACAAAGAGTTCACAAAATACACACTAGTCTAATTGTCACAACAGTGTACTACATGAAACAGTTACAGAGTTAAACTGTTGGTTAGGAATGGATTCCCTGGTGTTCAAGGGGAATGTTGTCAGTGGCTCATGGTGGTTGACCGTGGACAGTGTGTGTACATTCACCCACAGATCGACTGGGTACAACCACAACACAGAGAAATAGTTAAATACCATAAAAATACACTATCATCACAAGTGTCTCACACATAGCAACGTGCCATAAGGCTCTGTAGCTCACCTGACATTTGGGACACAATATATATACTGAAGGAAACAAATAAGGCAACATAACTTCATGGCAGTGTTCCTTTGTTTATTCCCAGACTTCCTCCCACAGCGCAATTCAAAGCTGGTGGTGAAAACTGGAACATATTAAAGGAACACTTGAAATTGCCTGTGTTCCTTTATTTGTTTTTCTCAGTATATATACATACACACCGTGACATATTGCCCAGTGCAACATGGATATATGGCTGTGTATTCCACACTGTTAAATCAGTGAATGATTCTGGGGGGTGTTTGGAGACACAGGGTGGTTTTAGATGATCCTGCCACAACATACCAAGGATCAGGCTAAAGGACAAAGTGCCGTTGCATCAGGTCACATGAACCTTTGGCTCAGATGAGCTGAAAATATGAAAAAGTCCAGCAGTATTAATGTAAAGGTTTCACAAACGTTGAAAATATTTCATTTCTCCAAAGGCATATTCAAGAGAGGCATTTATTTAAAAATCAAGGCAGAACTGTGATCAAATTTCATACAAAATATATAACTATAAAAAAACATTGATTAATTTGTCCTAACAAATGGCAAGGTGGGAATACTCTTGTGCTGTACTGATCCCACCATGTTCTGGTGTAACACTGCACCTGTCCTGGCAAGGACACCATCAAACACAACAGGCAAGTGCCAAGTCACTAACCAGACTATTCCATATACAGAGATGCCAACCCCAAAGTGTTGCAAATAGTAGTTTCAAGGATCAAAATTAGTAGTTTGACCATAAAATTAGTAGTCAACTAAATACTTAAAATCATGATGGACTCTGAGAAAGATAATATGACACTATGTCACATACCTCAAGAGCAGAAACTTTACATACCTCCAACAACAGATTTCACATACCTCCAACTGCAGATTTCCAAATTATCATCATTACATTTCTTCTTGTCTCTTTTTGTTGGAAATGTATTTAATCAACGAAAATATATGTTTTTGTCTATATATACAAATTTTAATGAATTTTCTTCAAATTTAGTAGAATTTCGAGTGCAATTGTATTGGCGTAGTTTGAGGTTAAAATTTGTAGCGACTATGATAAAACCGTAGAGGTTGGCATCTCTGCATACACAATGCCTACACAGACACCAGAACTGTGATGGAGGACTTCCCATGTGAGCACTTAATCATCTTCCTGTGGCAAGAAAGACCATAAGCCGTTCAACCATGCTGTTTCAAGCCCACATCTCTATAATCTCTGTGGCAAAATATGAGAGGATATTTGTTGTGTTCAGAAAATTGCTGTTATGGCTACAGTAACTGCATTTGAATTTGTTCCGATATTCCAAACATATATTGTGATTACAAATATTTTCATAGTGATTCAAAGTTTTCAATCAACTTGTCCAAGTACTTGTATAAGTACAGATTTCATTGTTTTATTGACCAGAATGACTGAACACTTCCCACAGAGACTGCAATCAAGACTAGTTTAAGGCAACCCCTGCTACATGTTACAGTGTTGTGCGTCTGTATGCCTCCATTATTGTGTCTATTAAGAGAGAAATGTGTCAGTAATATACCCATAAGTATCATCACTGTGGTAACCTGTCAGTTTGTATGTCTGACAGGAATAACATCTTTTATCTTTTCATTTTCTGATTGATAAGGTCGTGTGTTAGTCATCTATGTGAAGTCATTCAACATTAGAACAGTGATCTGATGTTGCCATTTCACAAGGGACTAGTGTTCTACACTGTGGGGCAACAATAGAAAATGTAGGCTTGAAATGGCATGGATAGAAACTAAACATTAATATAGGTCAGTGGATGGTCTTGGTTTTGGGAGATGGTATTTAATGAATAAATGAAAAAAATGACTCGAAAAATCAGTGTTTCACATATTATTTCATCTATTGAAAATATGAATGGTTGTCCTGAATTTTTGCATAAATATATACAAGTAAATGAATAATGTCATTCACTGAAAGAAATATTGTTAAAAAATATCAACACCTAGGTTAAGATCTCCGACTAGACTTCCCACCAAGGGAGTCTGAAAACACAACCCAATGACAATATGTTGGTAAAAAAATAACTATTCTGCAACATTGGTGGTGCTGTAGCTTGTGAACTATATGACATGATGACCACCCCTCCCCCACCTTGTCCCCCACCTTCTGTCCCCCACTACCACACTCTTGTGTCTTCTGTATCCTGGGCACAGTGCTGACCAGATTACACTGAGTTCTGTGTTCAAGTCCTGCACACAGTGAAACCTGAAAGATGTTCTGACTTAAATTGTCAGGATTAACAAATTAACATGGCTAATGTAAATATAAGAATTGAAGACTAAATAAATGAGAGGTTTTAAATGTTATATGCATAATGCATTGTGTAATATATATTTTGTTCTTGCATGTATAATGATTCCAAAACAATGACTCAGACAGAGGAATGTTTAAAGAAGAACTTCTGTAGTGATGTTGCCGTCAAAACTCTCAATATGAGGGAGTTGTTGCAGCGTAAACCTCAGACAGTCCAATCAGAATTGAGACTTTCCTAATTTCATGGTAAAATTAGTGATTGTCCTTAGTGAACATGTAGACATTACCAAACGTCATTGTGCAGGAGAGGGTGTCTGGACAATCAGGCAACACCACAAGTTTCACTGTGTAGCATCAGACAAATAACATATGATGAGGTCGTCAGCCTTGAAGTGCTTCGTAAACAAATATGTGAAGGATGAGGGTGGAAATACCTGTTCCAGGTCAAGGACCAGTTGTACAAGATAATCACAGCACTATAGAATGGTCCTCAAGAAAGACAATACAATACAATGGTGATGCTACAGATACCTTGTGCAGGTGCCCCATGGAAAGGACCACGGATGTGGCAGCAGTGATAGTCAAACAGCTCTTATTGTTCCCAGTGTATTTATAACATCACTCTCTTGACCAAGATATTTTATGGATTTAAGTTTCTTTATTCTTTCCAACACAACGTTTCACGATCATTACAGATCCCTTCATCAGGTGAAGTGCCAGTTGACACAATGACACCGAAACGTGTGTGAAAGAATAAAAATGCTTAAATCCATAAAATATCTTGGTCATCTATCACAACTTCTAAATGCCTCTAAAAGACATCACCATCTTGTTTCTGACCTTACCAATAGATCAGAGATCTAATCAGGTGACAAGCAGGACCTGACAACATGTGTAACATCATAATACAACACCCTACAAAACGCCAGCACAACATGCTCACACACACATCTTCTATGGCACAAGTGTATGTATAGTTTCCAGATATTTCAATTACATGGTTCCAGTGACAACAAATAA